GATTTTCAGAATCACGTGACGCTAAAACAAACACAATGTTCACAAAATATTAATAATAGAAAAGTACAAGTCAAGAGCTTTCCAAACATATATACATTGTATAGGTTCTTGTAAAATTTACTCCGATTATAGATGTTTACATTTTTCATGCCAAAAAACTATCTCGCTACCTTAATGTAAATTGCATTGTATACCGAACTACGTGGTAAAAAAATATCAAACGATGTTTTCCACCCCATACTTACAAAGGCAAGTTTTTCGGAAAAGCGTGGCCACTTCCATCGTATCAGCATTCCAACAGATGTTGGTATGAGCATAATTACCAGAGCTATTGCAATTTCCTCGGGTGCTGGCATAATAACATTTGATATTGCAATCCAATAACGTGAGTAGAGAAACAGACACCATGGCATCATACCAATGGCCAAGACGTTGGATACAGTTGTCATGCAGACACTGCAAAAAAGATCTTAGAATTTCGTTTGACACGTTTTCGTCCAACATGCACGGGCATGAATTTTTATACTTGATTTGGTGATCGAATTATAGTAATAATGAATTACTCATGAAGAAAGTGGGTCCCTATTCTACGTTTCATATTTTACGTTTACAAAAAACAAAAATATTTTATCTAAAATACAACTCTAATACAAACTGGGAGATTGTAGCCACGTAATTACCTGAGAGCAATGTCACCTTCTGACCAATATGTCATGATATTTGACGCTGTACCTCCTGGACATGTTGCAATGAGAATGGTTCCTATGGCGACGTTAGCTGGTAACTGAAAAACTACTGCTAACGTGAATCCAATAAGCGGCATGATACCAAACTGGCATAACGCCCCCACAGTTACTGGTATGGGTCTTTGAAATATTTTCTTTATATCCTTCCATTCCATTGTACATCCAAGACCAATCATGAGCAAAACTAAACATATGTTTAAGTTGATCTGATTGGCTATCAGTATGTCCTGAGGTGGCTTATGTGGAGCTGTTATTGTTTCATTTGTTATGTTTGGAAACATTCTGTAAAACATAGTCAACAAAAACGATTAAACACAAAACATAATTACTAAGGTCATGTTTATTTAAATTTGTATACTATTCTCTAGTACATATTCTGGATAAAGCTAGTACAGTTCACAGTATAGGATATTGAGAGGTGCATTTTAGGCTGAATTTGATTGTTATTCGAGCAAGCGAGGCTGCTTCTTTGGAAGATCACGTGATATAGCATCACGACCAATTATTACTTATTTCACTGTATGATTTATTAATTATTCAAAATACATGTAACAAAATCACAGGGTCTTTTCTCGACTAGTTGTGTTGAATTTGAATATAATATGGACGAGGCTCTTTTTTATTTAGTCTAGTTAAGGCGAGAGATGGCTGTCTCAAAATCTGTATTTTATTGTCTAAATATGCAAATTATGAGTGAATCATCACACAAAATTTAACGCTAATATTTTGTTCCATTAAAGTTATTGTAGATTCCTTTTGGTTGTACCTTTGTGTATAAATGTATTTTTTGTTGGAATATAACACATCACAGTTTCGTTTATTATAAATTTATTAAAAATGAAATAGCTGAAATGAACAAAATGACGGAGACATGTTTGTATATTAAATATCTCCAACTAAGTTATGCAATTGATTTTTTTCTTGACAGAAATGAACTTGGTATTGCAATAATTTTAATATTATATATATATATATATATAACACGATATTGAGTTTTGAGAATTTTAAGACAAATCTTTAAAATATGTAATAATTGGCCTTGAACGAGGCCATATAAATAGATATCTCAAAAAGCTGTCTCTTCCACTTGAACATTAACATATACATTTGGGTCAATCACACACAAATGGTGTAGAAAAGTAGAATCCCATAAATAACCCACTCAGGTGATAAATGTCTCGTCCTTCTGCTGTATACGTACTATCGGAGAAATATTAAAAGTTCGATGTGAAATCATACGTGTTCGTGTATCTCCGTATCATGCACCTCGATTTTAGAGTATGCCATTCGCATGACGTCACTAATACTGTTATAATTATATCGTATTTACGTATGTTACATACGTGATACACACATGGATGCCTGAAACGGATTTAACTTTTATATTCTCATGTTTAAAACCTAATATAATACTACATAAACTGTGACAACAAACTGAACCGGTTTAAAATGAATCAGAATATTTCCGTGGACGTAGAGAAGAAACCCTCAGTATGTGTGACGTGATTGACCGACTTTGTATTAAATTAGTGACCTTGCGTGACCACAATGACCCCGACACAAACGAAGACTGCACTCACATTTAAAATTGCGTATGTAGGTAAAGCCCGATTAACTACTACCACGGGATATGATCATGATCGCTTGTGTGCTGTGCCAGGTAAACACAGATATTGCTATAGTGTTTTCACTAATCTTCTACTAACCTCATGTTCTGTGATTATTGCTCTCAATACTGGATTTGAGTGTATCAACTTGTCGTTATTAGAGCTACTTCGTTGGAACAATGTACGTTTAAGGTGGCTCATATGTAAATGAGTTTATCACTTCCCATTTCTGGTACGCAGGGTATGGTTGGTTCAAACTAGGTCACGTGACATTTATATACAGTATTACAAGACGTCAATGAAAGACGTAAATAAATCTAGTGCGCAACTGTATTGCACATAACAAACAATCGTTAACTGCCGATGGTGCCCCAGTCTTCATCGTGTTTGTTTTATACGTAGATTGTTTAGACAGAAAGTGTCCCGAGATCACGATGTAGCGGCATGTTTTAGGCGTAGCGCGTTTTTCGCGCTTAGGCTCACTAATGTATCAATGAAATTGTAAACTTTCACAATTTTTGTTTATTCCTTTTATTTATCTTTTATGTAACAATCTTGCTCTTTTAAAACAATTCTAGAACGTGCACCGCCCCCTGCACAGTATCAAACTCGATGCATTTAATATGAGCGGATATTGGGTGAGCGGCCTCTAGTGGTGTACTGGCTCCATCCCAATATGGCGTCATCTTATACAAGTCAGTCAGAATATATGTACTGTACAACTTTGCCACCCATTGCCATCCATTTGTTACTGCCAGGATTTAGAAAATACTATAAATCTAATTGTGAGGGTTGGATGTCTCATATTTTCTAAATTATTTACATTTGTTGATGATGTTTTATGAGGCTTGTATTCCAATTTACAGTGTCAGAGATGTATTTATACCATTTCGTACGTTGTTGTTAGTGATCAGCTGGTCCATTGATGGCAGGTGGCTAAAATGAATTAGAATGCATGCTTTGTTTTCCGAAACAATGACTTTCTTTGTGGCAATTACACACATGCATATTTGCAGTGCTGGTTGAGTCCTCAACTGTCTCCTATGGTATGATATTATAATAATAATTTTGTATTAATGCGTTTTTCCTGTATTTTTCTGTGGTTAATATTTCCATCATCATGTCTACCTGGCATTTTCCTTACCTCCTTCCCGGATATTCATGATATGTGTCTTATTATAAGACTATGTTTAACACTGGAGTGATAACTATGATGTTGTGTCAATTTGATTCACTTGAGTGTACTCAAATTAGCCTGCCTCTATTAAGAGATTAAATCTGCGCGTGCGTAATTGGTATACCCTTTCCAAACTTATTTCTCATTTTGATGCATTATCTATTTATATCTGTTTTAGCAAAACATCTAACTATACTAACTATATAATTTATAGAGTACAAAAAATGATGCAGAATTAAGCTGCAGCATCTTAAGCATTATTTCTAGTGTGTATTGAAAAATGTATGCATATATGTATAAATGTGAGTGTCTGCTGTGATTTTGCAATAACTCCATAAGTGAAGTTCTTTCTATAAGTGAGGCCTCTCTCTATAAGTGTAGCCTTGCCCTATAAGTGAAGCATCACACCATAAGCGAGCCACGCCCATGAGTGAAGCCTCAACCTATTAGTGAGGCATCGCCTTATAAATAAGGCCTCACAATATAAGTGAAGTCTCACACAAATATTGAAGCATCATCCTATAAGTGAAGCCCCACACTATAAGTGAAGCCTCACACTGTAAGTGAAGCCTTGCCCTATAAGTGAAGCCTTGCCTTAAAAGTGAAGCCTTGCCCTATAAGTGAAGCCTCACATTATAAGTGAAGCCTCACACTATAAGTAAAGCCTTGCCCCATGAGTGAAGCCACACTGTAAATGTGAAGCCTTGCCCCATAAGTGAAGCCCCACCCTAGAAGTGAAGCCTCTCTCTAAAAGTGAAGCATCCCACCATAAGCGCGCCACGCCCCATTAGTGAAGCATCACCCTATAAATGAAGCCTCAAACTATAACTGAAGCCTCACCCTAAAAGTGAAGCCTTGCCCCATGAGTGAAGCATCACACCATAAGCGAGCCACTCCCCATAAGTGAAACCTCAACCTATTAGTGAGGCATCACCAAATAAATGAGGCCTCACAATATAAGTGAAGCCCCACACTATAAGTGAAGCCTCTCCCTAAAAGTGAAGCATCACAACATAAGCGAGCCACGCCCCATAAGTGAAGCCTCACACTATAAATGAAGCCACACCCTATAAATGAAGCCTTGCCCCATGAGTGAAGCCCCATCTAGAAGTGAAGCCTTGCCCAATAAGTTAAGCCCCACTCTATAAGTGAATCCTTGTCCTATAATTGAAGCATCACACCATAAGCGAGCCACCCTAAAAATTGAAGCCTTGCCCCATAAGTGAAACCTCACCCTAAAAGTGAACCCTTGCCCTATAAGTGAAGCCTCACACTATAAGTGAAGCCTCACACTATAAGTGAAGCACCACCCTAAAAGTGAAGCCTTGTCCTATAAGTGAAGCATCACACCATAAGCGAGCCACGCCCCACGCCCCATAAGTGAAGCCTCACCCTAAAAGTGAAGCCTTGCTCCATAAGTGAAGCCTCACCCTATAAGAGAAGCCCCACCCTATAAGTAGAGCCTTGCCCTATAAGTGAAGCCTCACACTATAAGTGAAGCCTCACACTATAAGTGAAACACCACCCTAAAAGTGAAGCCTTGCCCCATAAGTGCAACCTCACACTAAAAGTGAACCCTTGCCCCATAAGTGAAGCCACACACTGTAAGTGAATCCTTGCCCTATAAGTGAAGGTCAAGGCGTCTTTTCTTTTAGGGTGAGTCTTCACTTATAGGGCAAGGATTCACTTATAGGGT